GTGGAAGGTGGGTGGCAAGCATGGGAAGCTGGAGCTGCCGAAGGGAGAAGTGGAGACACCAGAAGCCGAAGTGCACTTGGGAGCTCCTTGTGTGGACGCGTCACTGCCTTCTGCAGAATTAGATGCTGGTGCCGGAGTGGATGTGGACATGAAGGCGCCAAGTGGAAAAGTTGCTGACGATGCCAACTTGAAGATGCCATCTTTCGAATTTAAATTGCCACACCTGAAATTTGGCAAAGTGAAGGGTCCCAAGGCGACTGTAGAGACACCCGACTTGGAGGCGCATGTGGAAGCGGACACGGGCGGTGACGTTGACGTGGACGTGGACATGGACGCTGACAAGGTCGGCGGGAAGCACAAGTTGCCCGGATTCAAGCTGAAAATGCCGAAGCCGCACCTGAAGTTGGGCGGAATGGGAGAGGCAAAGGTGGAAGTGCCTGAAGTGACTGCTGAACTGCCCGAGGTGTGTGGTGAGGTGAAGTTGCCAGAAGGAGGCATTGGTGTGGATGATGGTGTTGTGCCAAGTGTAGCCGTGAAGATGCCATCAGTGAAGGTGGAAGCGCCAGAAGTGGAGTTGCACGCCCAGGTGCCTGAGGTGGATGTGGATGTGCCTAGTGTGCATGGTGAATTGCCGGGTGTGGAGGGTAAGGTGGATATTTCAATGCCAAAGGCGCAGGTCGATGTTGATGTGAGTGGTGGGGTGAAGGGCGAACTGCCGAGCCCCAAGGTGGCGGTAGAGAAGGACATCGAATTGCCCTCGATTCACGTGAAGTCGCCAAAGTTCAAATTTGGCAAAGGTGGCAAAGCAAAGGTGCCGGAATGTGAAGTAGAGACGCCGTCGATGGAGGTGCATGGTGAGGTGCCGGACGTTGAGGTTGGCCTTCCAGAAGGTGGTGTCGACATTCAAGCAGGCAGTGGAATGGTGGCAACGCAGAAGCAGCTGAAGTCACCACACTTCGAATTCAAGATGCCGAAGTGGAAGGTGGGTGGCAAAGGCAAGGTTGGAAAGGCAGAAGTAGACATGCCTGAGGTGGAGGCTCACCTAGACGCTCCTGGTGTGGATGTGGAGATGCCGAAAGCCGAAGTGGACGTGGAAGGATTGAGTGGGAAGGTGGGAGTTGAGAAGGAGCCGAAGTCGCTGCATTTCGGTTTCAAGGCGCCAAAGTGGAAGGTGGGTGGCAAGCATGGGAAGCTGGAGCTGCCGAAGGGAGAAGTGGAGACACCAGAAGCCGAAGTGCACTTGG